AAATGTTTATTTTTCAATTTAATATCTACGCACAAAACCCAGAAGTACTTTGTTCAGATTATTAAAAAAAAATGTCATACTAATAAAAAAATAGTTTGTTTATAGTTTACTACTATAGTAGATATATTTCTCTACTATATGCTAAAATTTCAACATTGTAGTGTAAACAATGTGCCCTAAACAAATATTAAAAGCGAAAATGACCAATGAAGTTTGAAAATTATAGGTAGTAATAATTTTGACCGATAGATGGTGTTAATTAATTTATTTTATTATTTTTTTTAAAACTTACTTGAATAGCCTTTTCATAATTGCAATAACTTTTGTGTTCAGCATTCATAATCATAATATAGCAGCAATTAATTCCAAACTAATTTTAATTTAATTAATTATCTAATTAATCAGTTTTAATTTTAAACAACAATCAAAACACATTTTTTAAACCGCAAAATCATTTTGTTTAAAACAACAATAACAATGTCAATTATCCTAAGAAGTTTCACTTCGTGGTAAATGACAATTTTAATTGTCCTTTAGAAGTTTCACTTCGTTGTAAATGACAATCTCAATTGTCTTTATAGTGGTTTTTAGAAGTTTTACTTCGTTCTAGGTCAACACGTCACTGAAGTGTGTCACTGTTGAAAAAATCAATGTTCGACAGGTCGCACAATGCATTATAAGTCACTAGAATTGTCACTTAATGTCATAATGTCACTTTTCGCATTTTTAAGTGACTCACTTCAGAGTGCACTTCGTTTCGAGTGACACAAATTTAAAGTTTTGGATTGAGTGATGTGTATACGTGACTTAGAAACCTGGATGACGATTTTGGAATCACAGTTTTTTGGAAAATGACACTTCAACGGTAATGTGATGTTGCAGGCAATGCAAGTGTCACTTGAAGTTTGCAGCGTCACGATGTTTAAATATCACTCAAAGTTGTAGATTTAGATTTAGTGACGGTTAGAGTCATTTAGACCTGTATGATGATTTTCTAGGTTTGTAGCGAATTTAAAAGCAGGAGTCACTTTAGTGGCAATGTGATATTACAGGCAATAATGACGAATAAGTCACTTGAAGCCATTTGTGGTGTCACGTTCGCTTATTTTGAGCGATAACTTCAAATATACATATAACTGACATACTTTGTAGATGTCACGTTTATCACTTCACACCAGTCTTTCAAATTTAAGTGTCATTTATACTTTCTTTGTTGTCACGTTTACAACTTCATGTGTGTCACTTTATCTATAATGAAGTTAGTGAATTGGTAATTTGTTTAAACACAACTTCACACACTTCAACAACACTCGCGTCAATATTTTTCAAAAATTGCAGTAAAACTTCTTGTGCTTTATACCGATTATTGTTTCAACCGATTTTAACCGATTTAACCGATTATCGATACCCATATGCTACCGATTCGACGCACGGTTCGATACTAAAGTTAATTTCTCATACGCAAGGTTAAAAAGAGTGCGAAAACGTTCGAAACTCATGCCCTCTCTTTTGTTCGCATGCGTGTTTCGTTACTCCGCCTCCAGATGGCTGGATAGTTACGCCCTGAAGTGGCGCACATTCCGAATACGAAAGGTGGGGGGATATCACCAACAAGTTGTGAAGTTGTCGGCGGGCGGTGGGTGTGTTCGCGATGGTGTGGGAAACCTTTTTGAGGAGCAGGTGGTAATAAATCAATAAATGACACTTGTAATTGCCTGCAACATCGCATTACCGATAAAATGACTCCTTCTGGTAAATCCAAAACTGTCTCCCTGTGACTTTCAATTGGTCATCTAGGGTACTAAATGACACAAACGTCACGTTTTCATGTTCTAAATCCAAAATTGGTTCTTTGGGTGATATCACCAACAAGTTGTGAAGTTGTCGGCGGGCGGTGGGTGTGTTCGTGATGGTGTGGGAAACCTTTTTGAGGAGCAGGTGAAGTGACACACGCCGTATGGTAATAAATCAATAAATGACACTTGTAATTGCCTGTAACATTGCATTACCAATAAAATGACTCCTTCTGGTAAATCCAGAACTGTCTCCTGTGACTTCAAATTGGTCATCTAGGGTACTAAATGACACAAACGTCACGTTTTCACGTTCTAAATCCAAAATTGAATCTCTGGGTGATTTGCAAACTTTAAGTGATAATTGCCTGTAACACCATGTTACCACTAAAGTGACTTTTTTGACACAAACTGTGACTCCAAAAACGCAACCAGATTTTTAAATTTGGGGTTATTTAGAAATCTGGTCACGTTCACTTGTCACTAAATCCAATATTCTGAGTGACCTGCAAACTTTGTGTCACTGATTGACTCAAAACCAATAAAATGATCCTTCTGGTAAGTCCAGAACTACTGCTCTGTAACTTCAAATTGCTCGTCCAGGTTACTAAGTGACCCAAACGTCACGTTTACACCTTACTAAGTCTAAAACTAAATCTCTGTCTGATAAAGGTTCAAACCTTAAGTGATTATTGCCTGTAACATCATGTTACCACAAAAGTGACTTTTTGACCCAAACTGTGACTCCAAAAACGCAACCAGATTTTTAAATTTGGGGTCATTTAGAAATCTGGTCACATTTACTTGTCTTAGGGATAATCCAATACTATGAGTGACTTGCAAACTTTGTGTCATTGATTGACTCAAAACCTGATGTTCTTTGAAGTTAGTCACTTTCATATGTCTAAAGTGACGTCATGACATTTAGTGACAATTTCTCCAGTCTGTCAAGCATTAATTTTTTCAACACTGGCCCAGATCAGTGGTGACACTATTCATTTTCATGATCTAAGTTATTGGTGACCTGGAACGAAGTGAAACTTCTAAGGACAATTATAAGAACAACCGACAGTGTTGTTGAGAATGAAGTGAACCTTCTCGATGATGATAATGGACAAATGGAGCCAAACTTCTTAGGACAAGAATAAAAAAAGAAGGGCAAATGAAAGTGATCAAGATAAAGTTTCCGGAACTTGCCATTGTTGCTTAGAACGAAGCAAAACTTCTAAGGACAAGGTTTAGGATAATTGACATTGTTATTTAGAAGAAAGTGTAACTTCTCAGAACAAGATCAAATATGAATAACAATTATGGACATTGTTGTATAGATCAAAGTAAAACTTCTCAGGATAAGAATAATTGATTTTATTGGTGTTCTGGATTCTGCAATCTACACCAACAGTCATTAAACCGCCACCGAACCTCCACAATTGTCTGCACCTCCACCACAGATGTTCTTTTACTAGAAGGAGGCCCAAAAGACAAGGAAAGAATCGTCTTTCGACCAATCGCAACATTGAGACACGCCTAATTTTTGCCAAAGGGGTGTGTTTTGGAATCGGAGACTCCGCCAGGGCACCCCCTCCACGGAAATAGGCGCAGTGGATTTTTGTCCGCCGCAGTTGTACTTCGGCAGCTGTTGGGAACAGTTCGGTGGAAGGTTTTGGTGTTGGTATTTTGTGTGGAGAGACGTTGTTAAAGAATAGTGGAGGATAGTAATAGTATAGTTTTATGACATTTAATTTGTTTCATGTGTATTTTATTAGTGTTTTCCTATAATTTAGGAATTTCATTTATATTCAAAAAATTAATAAAGATATACTTATATTACAAACATTTTTATTGTTATTGCAGTTATTATTTTTATTATAATTGTTTTTGTTTTTATTTATTATCATTATTATTTATTATTATTATTGTTATATTATCATTGTTATTATTTTTATTAATTATTATTATTATCATTTAATATTATTGATATCATTATCATTATTTATGACTATTATTATTGTTGCCGTTATTATCGTTTTTGTGATATATGTTAATATTAATTTATTTGTTTTAATCTATTATAAAACAATAATTTAAATATTAAATAATAGGAATCATATATTATTATGCATGAACTTAAAAACAAAATATTATAGTATTAATAATAATATTATTATAGTTTGTAAAACAATATGCAATTTTGTTGTTTTATTGAATTTTGTAAAAATTAATTTTTTGTGTTGACACCCTTATATAATTATACTCCTGTATAAAAAATGTGAAATTATAATAAATTAAATAAATAAACTAGTTAGTCTAGTAAATAGTTATCAATAAATTGATTGTAATAATTTAAATGATAGTCATTTGAAGATATATACTAGACTTATTTTTGTAAGTGATGGTATTTTATTATAAAAATATATATATTTAAGTTTTTAATATAAATAATTTTAAATATATATTTTTATACCCACATTTATATGAATATGAATATAGTTATAAATTTTATATATAAATACAGGTTGGCCATCTTGCACACAACATAATACACCAAAGTTATACAAGATTCGAACCATTTTTGACTAAAATTTCAAACCAATATAAATTTGTATATAATTAAATAAGATTATTTTAAGTTCTAATAATTATTGTACATTTAGTAATAATCAGTAATACTTGCTGTAAAAGCAAAATTAAATGTATGTGGTTGTTTTTAATTTTGAAATAACCGCCGTTTGCAAAGTATGAACTATTTTGACTCAGTGGTTAGAGAGTAAATATTATCAAGGTAATTTTAGTTTCAATGTATTATTACAAAATTTAGTAATAATAAATAGTATTGGTCGTAGAAATAAAATATATATGTATAGTTTTTATTCAATTTTGAATTTGCCGCCATTTTGTACAAAATCGATCATGTGACTTTGAACTGTCAACTTAAAGTTGTAATATAAAAGAATACACGTACAAACGTGTATTTATTATTAAAACTGATTAGAATTAAAGCAAATACACATTTATTTCAATGATTCAAGTTAAATTTCATTTAATATTTATTTTCAAAATTCTAAAATTCAAATTTCGCGCTCTGTTCTGATTTCTCTTCGTTTGACTTTTGCTCCATGATTCGTAAGCTGTCACTTTTTGTTTAAAAATGGTGTTAATTGAGAAAAAGTTAATATAAAAGTGTTTAATAAATGTTTAAAACAATATGACAATCTGTTTTATACCAAATAAATGCGCAAAAGTCTTATAATCATGTTAAAACACTTTAGTATATATATAGAATAAATATTGATTCAACATAAACATGGATTTGGAGTATAATGTTTTTAGGAAAAATGTCGATTTGGATAATAAATGCTGTGGGGGGGCTGCTTGGTGCATTAAGGTGTATATTATTTATTAATTAAACATATATATTATATGTGATGTGCATAAGACTTTGTACTACTTACATGTAAATATTTGTCGATGCTTTTGTTATCGTACATCTAAGACATTGGAGTCTTAATTATAAGTTTATACAATTATTTACATACTGTTTTATATTTTCAGGATATCTGTGGAATAATTTGCGCAATATTAACATGGCTATTAATTTTGTATGCAGAGTTTGTTGTTATGTTTGTTATGTTAATTCCGAATCCAAACGAGCTATATAGGTAAATATATATCATATTTTCAATTGTATGTAAATATAGGTTAGGTTAATAAGTAGTCTTTTCCTCCAGGTATCCAAATATGATATTTTTTAACATATGTGCATTCCTTGCATTCGCTTCACACTTGCGAACAATGTTCACAGACCCTGTAAGTAAAATTCGAATAAATCAAGTATCCTTTATCCTATTTATTGTTTTTATATTTCTTTTCCCTCAGGGGGCTGTGCCCAAAGGCAATGCGACCAAAGAACAGATAGCACGAATGGGCTTTCGTGAAGGCCAAGTGGTATTCAAGTGCCCCAAATGTTGTAGTATTAAACCAGAACGAGCGCATCATTGTTCTGTGTGCCAGCGATGTGTCAGGAAAATGGATCACCATTGTCCCTGGGTCAATAATTGCGTTGGAGAGGACAATCAGAAATATTTTGTACTTTTCACTGTAAGATAATGGACTTATATGTTTTATGATTTTATTTTACTGAACTAAAAGTCTCCTTTTTATTTATTTTTCATAAATGAGGTTTGAGAGTTATGGGATGTCTTTTTCTTCAGGATCGCTTATACTAAAACAAATATTTTTATATTCATTTATACACTTTGTTGTTGAGAATGTTCTAGATTGTCTGAAAATGTTTTAAATTATTTGGGAATATTGAAATTTATCTCTAAATGTTGTAAATCTAATAAAAATGATGTAGATTATCTGAAAATATTGTAGACTGTTTAAAAACGCTGTAGACTGTCTGAAAATGTTGTAGACTGTCTGAAATTATTGTAGACTGCCTGAAAATGTTGTAAATTTTTTGAAAATGTTGTCGACTATCTTACAAACATTGCATGAAATAACAGTGTATGAAACTGTTGTAAATTGTCAGAAAATGTTAGACTGCTTGAAAATGCTACATACAGTCTGAAAATGTTATGGACTGTCTGAAAATGTTGTAGATTGTCTGAAATTGAACAATGAAATGTCTGAATATAGTGAATATTGACTTACAAACATTGTAATAAATCTAAAAATGTTGTAGACTGTCTGAAAATATTGTAGACTGTCTGAAAATTTTGTAGACTGTCTGAAAATATTGTAGACTGTCTGAAAATGTTGTGAATTGTCTGAAAATGTTGTGGATTGTCTGAAAATATTGTAGACTGTCTGAAAATGTTGTGAATTGTCTGAAAATGTTGTGGATTGTCTGAAAATATTGTAGACTGTCTGAAAATGTTGTAAATTGTATGAAAAGGTTGTAAATTATATCTAACTGTTGTAAATGATCTGAACATGTTTTAGGTATGGCTGAAAATGTTGTACACTCTCTGAAATTGTTCCAATTGTTCTGGAAATGTTGTAAATTGTCTGAAAATGTTGTAGACTCTCTGAAAATGTTGTAGATTGTCTGAAATTGAACAATGAAATGTCTGAATATAGTGAATATTGTCTTACAAGCATTGTAATATGTCTGAAAATATTGTAGACTGTCTGAAAATATTGTAGACTGTCTGAAAATGTTGTCGACTATCTTACAAACGTTGTAATGTGTATGAAACTGTTGTAAATTGTCAGAAAATGTTATTGACTGTTTGAAAATGCTGTATACAGTTTGAAAATGTTATGGAATGTCTGAAAAAGTTGTAGACTGTCTGAAAATGTTGTGAATTGTCTGAAAAGGTTGTAAAGTTTTTGAAAATTTTGTAAATTATATCTAATTGTTTTAAATGGTCTGGACATGTTTTAGATAGTCTGAAAATATTGTAGATCAGTGGTTCCCAAAGTAGTCCACATGGATCCCTAGGGGTTCATGGCAACCTTCAAGGGGTTCACAGTAAACGGGTAAACAAATTTTGGGGGTCCACTGCATATTTAGAAATGATTTAAACTTGAAATGTTAGTATTGAGGCCGAAGCCAGCCTCGCATATCTTAGAAACTATTGAATGTTTCAACTTTAAATTTCTGACAAATATTTAGTAAAGTGTAGTTACAATGTATGTCAAGTTTCATCAAAATCGAATTATGCATTTTTGAAAACTTACAATCTGTTTCAATTCTATTGACTGAAATTGACAGCGGAGTCAGCCACCCATCAACCTAGCATTTCTCAAAAACTGTTGAATGTTCCAACTTTAAATTTTTGTCAAATATTCAGTAAAGTGTAGTAACAATGTATGTCAAGTTTCATCAAAATCGAATTATGCTTTTTTGAAAATGTATAATCTGTTTCAATACTAGTATTGACTGCAACTATTGAATGTTTTTTTGTTGAATGAAACATCGCAAGGGGTCTGTTTGTTGATTATGTTGAAAATTGTCTGAAATTGTTGTAAATTGCCTGAAAATATTGAAGATAAGGCTAAAAATGTTGCGGACCATCTGAAAATATTGTACATTATCTTAAAATGTTGTGGATTGTTTCAAAAAACTTTGTAATATGTCTACAAATGTTGTAAATGATCTAAAAAGCTTGTATAATGTTTAAAAAGGTTGCAAATTGTCTGAAAATATTGTAGATTGTCTGAAATTGAAAAATTAAACGTATGAAAAAATTGAATATGTGTTACAAACATTGTGATTTGTCTAAAAATGTTGTAGATTGTCTAAAATTATTGGAATTTGTCTAAAATTATTGTAATTTGTCTAGTAATGTTGCAAGTTGTCTGAAAATGTTGTAGATTGACTGAAATTGTTCTAATTTTTCTAGAAATGTTGCAAATTGTCTGAAAATGTTGAATACTCTCTGAAAATGTTGAAAACTCTCTGAATATGTTGTAAACTCTCTGAAAATGTTGCAAACTCTCTGAAAATGTTGTAAATTATTTGAAAATGTTGTAAATGGTTTGAACACGTTTTAGATTTGGTGAAACTATTGTAAATTGTCTGAAAATGTTGAAAATTGTCTGAAATTGAAAAATTAAATGTATGAAAATATTGAATATGTGTTACAAACATTGTAATTTGTCTACAAATGTTGTAGATTGTCTGAAATTATTGGAAATTGTCTAAAATTATTGAAATTTGTCTAGTAATGTTACAAGTTGTCTGAAAATGTTGTAGATTGTCTGAAATTGTTCTAATTTTTCTGGAAATATTGCAAATTGTCTGAAAATGTTGAATACTCTCTGAAAATATTGAGTACTCTTTGAAAATGTTGAAAACTCTCTGAATATGTTGTAAACTCTCTGAAAATGTTGTAAACTCTCTGGAAATGTTAAAGACTCTCTGAAAATGTTGTAAATTATTTGAAAATGTGGTAAATTATTTGAAAATGTTGTAAATGGTTTGATCATATTTTAGATTGGCTGGAAATATTGTAAATGGTCTGAAAGTGTTGAAAATTGTCTGAAATTGAAAAATGAAATGTCTGAGAGTATTGAATATTGGCTTACAAACTTTGTAATGTGTCTGAAAATGTTGTAGATTGTCTAAAAATATTGTAACTAGTCTAGAAATGTTGTAATTATTTTACAAACACTCTCGTGTGTCCAAAAATGTTGTAATTCTCTGAAAATGTTATGGATTGTCTGAAATTGTTGTATTTTGTCTGGAAATGTTGCAAATTGTCTGGAAATGTTATAGACTGCCTGAAAATATTGTAATCAGCACAGAAATGTTGTAGATTGTCTGAAAATGTTGTAAGTTATCTAAAAAAAGAGACTTTTAGTTCAGAAAAATACAATCATAAACCTATATTTATATTGGTATTCATACAAATCTTTCAATTTTAGTTCTACATAGCTGTAATATCCGTACACTCTTTACTGATGTCATTCAATCAATTTGCCTCGTGTGTTCGAGCCGAATGGAGAGAATGTTCTGTCTATTCACCACCTGCAACAGTAGCCCTGCTTCTATTTTTAGTCATCGAAGCATTACTATTTGCTATTTTCACCGCTGTCATGCTCATCACACAATTGCAAGCCATTTGGAACGATGAAACAGTAATAAAATAATTTAAACATTAATAGATAGATAGATACTTTATTTCAATTCAATATTTACAATTTATAAGTTGATACAATTATGATTTTCATCACAATATTATAATATAACTAAAATAATATCAATTATAGTCATGAACAACTCTAGGATTAACCTAATGACAATTAATAGTTAACTTAGATTAAAAAATTTATTAATTGAATAGATATGTTGATCTACAAGATGTTTTTAAAAGCATATTTTTTTAAATACTTAATACAAATATAATATATAATATAAATATTATTAATGTTATCTTTTCCTTTTAGGGTATTGAACAATTAAAGAAAGAGCAAGCGAGTTGGGTTAGAAAGTCCCGATGGAAATCAATACAGAATGTTTTTGGGAGATTTTCCTTACATTGGTTTTCACCGTTCACGAGCCCTGAGTCACACAGACTGAATAGAGTCTTTCCTGAGATTTATTCGTATCCAGTTTAGAGAAATTATTTAATAGTATCCTAATTATGTAAGAGATTTCGATTTATTTAATATATATGTGCATAATTTGTAAGAAGAAAAGTGTATTATGGAAGTAGATGCGGTAAGTTTTTTTTTATTTTATGGTACTTATGTAATATATATATATATATATATATATATATATATATATATATGTATAGATTTTTTTGTTTGATGTTGAAATTTATTTGCAGCTAAATTGAATAAAAATCATTAAATAAATAAATTATTATATCAGTTTTGACATTGTTTGTATCAGCAAGTTAATAAAAATTTAAAAATAACTAAATTTTATAACTTACTTTATCCAAATCAGGTAATGAAACAAAATCAAATATAAAATAAAATAATAAACTTATGTAGTTTGTCACTCAATGACTAGATTCAAAATGTGGACGAAGAAAATGTTCTTTCTTATAAATAAAAGAATTTGAGAGGTTTCACATAAACTGATCCAAAAACCAATAAAAATACAATGATAATAGATCTTTCTTTTTTTCTAATAATTATTTTATTATAAGAACATTATAATAACACAAAACCTTGAAATAAAGATAAAAATATTAAAAAAAAAATAAAAAATTGTAGTCAAGCACATGGCTTAACATTCGAAATAAATACAACTGAAAATTAAAATTAAAATGTCTGAAAATTTGAAAATCAGTATCAAGGAACAATTTGGCTGCAAATAAATATTATATTTATATATATGTGTATATATATATATATATATATATATATATATATGATTTTCTGAATATATGCAAACAATGATTGTTAAATTTCTGAACTAAAAGCTTCCTTTTCTCCTAAAAATTTTATGTGTTTTAGTTTTTTTCAATTACATTCAAAATATCTTTCAAAGGAGTTTACAAAACCAATTCCAAATGCATGATATAATAAAAATATAATAACAGACACAAAAACATTACACGATTCTTACAATTTTTACATGATTTTTACAATTTACAATTTTTTATAAATCTTTTTATAAATTTATTATATGCAATTAAGATTTATTAACAAAAGCTTATAAACTGTTAAGATTACAGTAAATGATAAACATACATAACAAAAAAAACAAAAACTGTTAAGAAAATGAAATTTAAAATTGGAAATTTTTATTTATTTTTTATTAACACATGATCATAAACAGACATAATTGACCAAATTATAATAAATTTAAGAAAAGATCTATAAAAAATTGTAAATTGTAAAAATCATGTAAATATTGTAAGAATTGTGTAATGTTTTTGTGTCTGTTATTATATTTGTAATTGTTTCTGTGAACTCCTTTAAAATGCACTTCAAAAGAAATTTTGAAGATTTTTCTTTGGAACAACATCATTGAAATAAAATAAAACTAAAAAAATTGGCAAATACATTTAAACAAATACGATTACAGATGATTAATAACAAAAAAGCATAAAATCTGTTAATGAATTATAAATTTTTATTTTTCAAAAACAGAACTCTGAAGAGTAAAAATTGTTTTTTTCAACAATGTTAAACATAGATTTTTGAGTGCTTTGTAGTTCGATGAGTGTTTCAATTGGAAAATGTTTAATCAAGAGTCTCATAATAATTAAATAAGTGTATAGATGTGTATTTATATACATATATATTTTATTAATAGTTCCTGAAGAAGGAGACATCCTTTATTCCTGAAACGTTGAGTAAAACAATTGAAAAATTAAATTATGAGAAAAAATGTGGCTTTTGGTTCTGAAATTCAAAAATCATTTATATATATATATATATATATATATATATATATATATATATGCATATGTCTAATAACTATATCGACCAATAATATTTACCTCTCTGATTTTTTTTTATGAATGTTTGTCGTGTATATATTTATATATAATATGATATGAATGGTTTTGCGAATAAACAAATTGAAATGTTGATATTTGTATCAAGACAAAATGGTTATTAAGAATAATAATGTTTAAATTAATATCTCACAAAATAATGTAGTTGCTAGATAAATTTTGCAATTGGATTATATAAATATATATATGGAGTTTAATAATGTTGTATTTATTGTAACGAGGAAGGATTGTAATTGGTGATGTTGATGAATGAAAGACATCAGGACATGGTTGAATTGAAGTTTGAAAAATGGGAAGAAAAAATGTTTGTCAAGATGTTTTGATGTTGTAGACCCCAATGCAATAGGAATAGGATAGACTCTAGAACTTACTCGACTTATCCCCAACTATCTGAAGACATTTTTATTAAAATTATTAGAAATTTTATCAGATGACAAAATGTCTATATTGTCTTAGAGATTTTGTGATTAATATAAAATGTATTTTGTTTTTAACATGACCTTGAGTCTGGTGGGGTTCTTTGGCAAATGAGTTTGGATGATCTTTGAAGCAGCTTTTGTGCTTTGGGAATCAGCTGCATATTATTTTGATAAAGAAGGATTGCAATTGGGTGATGTTGATGAATTTAGGACATCAGGGCATGTTGATGGTGAAAGTTGGTTTAAAGTTTGAGGAATTGGAAGGAAAAATGGGTCAGGGGTTCAAGATGTTTTGATGATGTAAACTCCACAACTTACTCGACTTACCACCAACTATACTGAAGACATTTTTCTTCAGTATATAATTATTTTTATTTTACTCTTATCCTAAAACAAACAACGATTGTAGGATTAAAAATGGCTTTTTCTTCTGACCATTGTCAGTGATTTTGTGATTATTGTAAAATGTAATTTGTTTTTACCATGGCCTTTGGCAAATAAGTTAGGGTGATCTTCGAGACGGCTTTTGTACTCTTGTAAATGATTTCGTATTTCATCGCTTATTGTGCTGATGTCGATCAACCAATTTTGGAATAGAGATTTCTATTGAAAACTCAAAGTGTTAAGATTATCAATTTTTTCATTAAATTTGAAATAACAAAATAAAATTAACCAATTAGTAAATGTTTATAATGAGAAAGACATAGTGGATCCAGATTTTGTTTTGTTGATATAGGATTGTTTTGAAAATCATTGCTCTAATTGAAAGTTATTAATCAGTTTGAGCAAGTGAGAATGTTTTAACGTTTCGAAAATTTTTATTTTATTCTTATACTAAAAGGAACAACAATTGTATGATTAAAAAAATGGCTTTTTCTTACCATTGTCAGAGATTTTGTGAATAATGTAAAATGTATTTTAACTTAACCTGACCCTGGTAGTGTTCTGGTGGACTTCTCTGACAAATATGTTTGGGTGATCTTTGAGGCGGCTTTTGTACTTTTATGATTGAGGTTGTGTTTCACCGTTTATTGTGCTGATGTCGATCAACCAATTTTGGAATTTCTATTAATCTAGTAATCTTTCAATAATAATTTAATTGTTGAAAGATTACTATTGAAAACCTAAAGTGCTAGGATTATCTATTTGTTAATTAAATAAAAAATAAAAAAATAAAATTAACCAATTAGATGAAAACAAGATAAAATTATTCAATTTCGAGCAAATAAGAATATTTATATAAATTTACTGGGTTGTTCTTAAGCATTTTTGTTAAATAAATAAACATAATTACACATTTTTTTATAATAAAATATAGTTTTTAGTCTTCCATACCAGTTTTAAACGGGACAACTGATATTATTTAATATTTACTGTCCCATTTTAAACAAGTATATACATACATATATAATTTAGTTGTTGAACAAAACAACTTTCACTTCTTTGACAGAGCACAGATGTAAATGCAAAGTGTTTAAATTAATTAAGTAAAATTATTAAACTAAAAAAATTATATTTAGTGGTATAAAATTTAAAAATAGTTTGAAAAATATATTAATATATATGTGTGTAGTGAAAGTATAGAAATAGTATTGTGAGACTTGGAGAACAAGTAAGTATGGTGTGACTTAACCTTATATTTATTTATTTATTTATTTATTTATATAATTGATTTTTTTTAGATATAATGAATTATAAGACCATTGGAAGCATTTTAGCAATTTTATTGTTAATAAATTGTGCTCTAGTATTATGTTACGATCCAAATGATGAAAAATTAGAAACTGTTTTGCCTGAAAAGGGAACTTTTGAGGCTTTTTATTCCAAAGGAGAACCTAGAGGATCTGCAAGGTAGAAAATAATAATATACCAAATTATTATTATTCCAACATAAACAAATAATTGAAAGAAATAAATATATAAATAAATAAATAAATAAATATATGGATATTTATATTTACTTTTATAGGGCCTCTCACAACCATGGCAGCTTCTTTAAATACCGAAATCCGGCCCTGGTCGATGCTAAAAATGCTGCAGCCTATGGTTACAGATTTGATGGTGGGCGAAGATTTAACTTTGATTAATTATTATTAATAATATAATATAAATAATTCATTACATATAAATAATACATCAAGAATAAATGAACAATGAAACCTAAAATGATTTTTTTGTTTTTTTACTCAGTTAAAGATGGTAATATTTTGTAACTTTTAATAAACCGTATGTTTAAAATTCATAAAATTTCCGGTAAATTAGTACAAAATTAAATAATCTACGATACTATCTAATATTATAAGCAACTTGGTATACTTTAAAATCTCAATTTCAAACAGAATTTTGAATTTGTCCTATAGTTCTAAAATGACTTGTAACTATGTGCACTCATCTACTAATTATCTTGTAACTTTTAAACCATTCGATTATTATGAATGATGCATATGAGAAATTCGTTTAAAATTAAATAATCTACAACTTTTCCTAACACCAAAAGTTCCTAGAGCAACTCGGTATACTCTAAAATCTCAAATTTAAAACAAAATGTTGAATTAGTCTTATAGTTCTAAAATGACCTGTAACTAGTTATTGCATATTCATTTACTAAATTTCCTGTAACTTTTAAACCATTCTATTAATATGAATGATGCATATGAGAAATTTGTACAAAATTAAATAATCTACAACTTTTACTAACATCAAAAGTTTCTACAGCAACTCGGTATACTCTAAAATCGACATGAAATATCAGAATACTAATTTAACTGTTCATAAGTGCATTATTTTAGTATATCGTTCATAACTTTTAAACCATTCGATTAATATGAATGATGTATTTGGAAGATTCGTATAAAATTAAATTATTTTATAACATTTACCTGTACAACAACTCGGTATACCCTAAAAATAATTTTCCTAATTTTTAACATTGGTACGGAACCCGAGCTTTAACGGCGCGTCGTTATTTTTTTATTTAATGTTTTTAAAGAAGTCAAGAAAACAAAATGAATGGCTTCCAGATAATTCCTGTATTTTTTTTATTGTTGAATTTATAATGTAATTGCCTAGATAAATTCCTTTATGTTTATAGGGGAGTCGGGGGCGAAACTGGGATAATTTATTATATATAAATATGTATCTATAACATTATATTAAAGATTTTTTGTGTATATTTGTAGGGAACACTGAGGTAGATTTATGATGGAGTAGTTTTGAAATTTAAAGTAATTTTATTTAAAAACTAAAGGAACACTGGGGTGGATACATAATATAATATTTTTTAAATTTGTTCACAAAAATCTAGAAGGTTTATTATTTTTATATGGAAACTAGAATAACTTAGTAATATAAAAATATTACAGATAAGTCTTAAGATTTATTTTGGAACGGAAAACTGAGGTGGATTCTTAATGTAATATTTCTACAACTTTTAGGGGACTTTATAAAATCAAGAAATTTAAAGACCAATTTTTTGATAAAATAAAAATGTTAAAGTAATACTATGTTACGGGTCTATCTTTGTATGAATTGGTAGTAACAAACCTTTAAAAAGCTATGTATTTGCATAGATCCTAACTTCACGTATGTGTTATCCAAGAGACATCAGAAAGTTTGCACTTTTTATAAAATTGTTATTTGAGGTTTTGCGTTTTGCAGGTTAGCTTTTATGCGTGAAACGTCTAATTGTCCAGCAAATACTTAGCATTTTGACAGTTTTTAGTGCCATTTTATATGAAGAACAAAGTGTTGCCATAACAACGTTGTTATGTTACGCTATGTTACATTTCTATTTTATAGAGAAATTGGCTCCTAAGTTTTTTTAAAAGTGGTTTTTAAACGAAATTTAGCATATTTTAAATAAAAAAATTAAAACAATTTCAAAATTTTGATGAAAGTATGTTTTTATTATATTTTTTTTCAAATTTTAATATTTTCTAATATGTGCAATGATTAATACATTTAATTTGTATATTTTTGATATTTTGAATACTTTATTTATTTATTTATTTATTTAATTATCGAATTTTAATATTTTTTTATTTTCACAAATGTTTTTTTTTACTTTGTGATAATTTTTACTGTTATTTATTAAATTTTTGACAAATATTTAATATTTTCATGAAATTCTATCACTTCTTTAACATTTTTAATAATATCTGTGTTTTTTTCTTGATTTATTTTATATCTTTACGTTTCAGAGGTTTCTGAACATTTTGGCATACCTTACAATTAGAAAAAAATGGATGTGTGTGTGTATGTATGTGTGGATACAATTTTCCGTCCACGTTTTTGGTGGCACGGATTAACCGATTTGAATGATTCGAAAAGCAATCGATTCCTATTGATAGGGAGACGTGCTGATTAGTTTTTGGTAAAGGTCGGTCTAGCCGTTTTGGAGTTACAGAGCAAAGAGTGGAGAAAATAGAAATCGAGTTTTTGAGAGAACGAAGCATCCGATTTGAATCATTCAAAAAACATTCAATTTGTAATGATTGGGAGAAGTTGTGTTTAGTTTTTAGCAGAGACAAGTCTAGACGTTTCGGAGATACGGAGCTAAATGTGCAAAAAATTGCAGTTTTTGAGAGAATTGAGCATTCGATTTGAATGATTCAAAAGGCAATTTGCCTTAAAGCACGATGCCATGCACCACTAGTTCTGTTTCTATTATACAAAATAAATGTTTAAAACTAAAATTTATCTCTATAAGTATGCACAATAGCACCAACCTCCCCTATCCACCAATCTACGTATGTATGTATCCACATATTTAGATATTAGGGCGTTAGGGCTTCGAAAAGGATTAAAGCATCACTTTATATTTTTTTTCTATTTTTCGAGATATTTTTTCGGTGTAATAAATTTTTTTTCGGGGGGCCCCCTTGCATGGAATGCCGTGTTACCTGATTATAAAAATCGAGACCGGCAACTATTTCGGATTAGTTTAGTCCTTGTCTCCGATCGACACGGAGAGAGAAATTAATTTGTAGTTGTAATATTCTGATGATAATATTATTTTATTTTTGATTATTGTTTAATATTTAAATGTTTATTTATTTTTATTGATAATTAATTTGTAAATAGTTGGAGAAAATATGATCTATAAACATTTTATCGAGGTGAGTTCTTTGTTTCATTATTTAATATTAACTATTATTAGTTTAAATGCATCTTGTTTTTTATTATTTTTTATATATTTTAACATGTTTATATTTATTACAATTTTTTTTATTAATTATTATTTTTTTAATATAAAAAATTGTTTTAATTGTAAATATTTTTTTTTTTATTCTATTCAGTATTTATTTACAGTATATTTTTTTTTCCTTTTTCTGCAATTTTTAATATTTTTGTTATATATTATTTTATTTCGTTTTTGTTGTGTGTTTTTAATATGTTTATTATAATTAATTATAATAATTTATAATCAAATTATATTTAGATCATTATTATTGTTTTTCGTTTCATTATTCATCTTTTTCTGAATTTTGGATAATTTTTCAAGTTATTAGTGTATTTTTATTATTTTTCGTTTATTTAAAAATAATTATTTAATATTTATTATAGTATATTATATTATATTTATATTTTTAATTAATATTATTTTTATTTATAGTATTGTAATATTTTCGTTTTATTTATTAATTTTATTATGATTTAATTTTTTAATGTTTTTTTTAATAATTTTTGTGTTAATTTTAAAATTTCTTAGTACATTTTTAATATTTTTTATACATTTTTTTAATTATTTTAGATTTATTATTTTATACCAAGATTTTTGGCTCAGCTCATTCTTTTATTGGAAATTATAGTTTATTTTAAAAATTATTATTACTTATTAAATATTTATTTTTATTTATTTTTATTTTAAAAATATTATATTTTATTGTTTATTCAAATTTTATAGACCGATTCTTTTAACATTTTAATATGTTTTAAATTTATTTTATTTATTGTTTAATAATTCTTTGTTTATATTAAAAAATTTGGATTGTTTTTTATTTATTTTTAATGTTTCAATATTTGAATTTCATTTTATTATTTATTTTTAAATTCTATTTTATTATTAGTTTATAAAAATATTCGTTTTTGTTTATTTTAAATTATTTTTTGTTTTTTTTTGTTTTATTTTTTAATTGTAATTTTTGTTAAATATTATTAAATTTAGCATATATATATATATATATATATATATATATATATATATTAATAATAATAAAAGTATAATTTTTTCAGGTTTTACTAATATTTTTGTGGACTTATGAGAGCAATGCATTTTTTTACAATTGGGGAAAAGAGGAGACGACGTAAGTTTATATAATTTATTACAATTATAATTGTATATATATATATATATATATATATTTTTTTTTTATTTATTTATTTAAATTACAATAATATAAACATAAAACTTAGACGTTTTGACACTAATTTTATCCATCATCAGTATAAAATTAACAACAGTTTTTGTTAATTTACACTGATGATGAGACAAATCACAGCATCCAAGCATTTTTAACTCTAATGCAAGGTTCTACTAGTATATATATATATATATATATATATATATATATGTATATTTTTATATATTTATGTGTATGTTTTTATAGATTAATTCTTAGAAGAATGGTCTTGGACTAATGCGAGTAATTATCTTTGAAAAGGAACTCACAATGCATTAAATAAATATCGACTCAAAACTTATAAAAAAAACTTAAAGAAAAAATTGAAAAGGGTCAAAACATCATTTATTAAAATCCTATCTTAACAGACACATAAAAATAATACAGGAAATATATACATATATATATTTTTTATGATTTTACTTTTTTCTTATTACTAGCATCCCTTTCTTCTCCAAAAAATATTATTTATTTGGTTTGGGTTTTTTATTTATAATTATTTTCTGAGTTTTTGTTAAAAAAATGATAAAAATGATTCCAAAAATAATAAATTCAAGAACATTTACATTTTCATGATTCTTACAAATTTTTATTTTCCAAATTTATCAAACAAGAATTATTTACATAAGATTAAGTTGTGTATGCAAGATATATGAAAAAAAATCTTCATTTTTCTTACGTAATATTTTTGCAGGCAAATTACGTAATATTTATGTAATTCTTACGTAATGTAGATTACATATTTCTTACACTAAAATTACGTAATATTACGTAACTGGTTTAGTGGGTTATTACAGCATAACATCATTTATTTAAATTTTATACCAAAATAGGTAAATATAATGCTGCAGTTCAATTCATATATTTTTTTAAGTTTTTAACGTTTCAATGAGCTCGTCGACTTCCTGTAAGCCATACAATTTCAAATAATCATTTAATTTCATATGATGCGTTGCAGTGGGTAAACCATTTTCGAGCAGTTTTTATCTAACTAATAATTTTCTAGAAATATTTTCTAAACGTTTGCCGGGCCAGCTAGTATATATATATATATATATATATATATATATATAATTGAGATGTTGTCCCGACCACAATAGACCTGCAGGTGGTCCAAAATTATTAAATTAGGACCTCAAAAAAAACCTTAAACCGGATTTGTACAAAAAATCTTGAGATCAATTCTTGCTGGCGTTATTATAAAAAAAAACCTAAAACAACTTCCCATACTTAGTAGTAGAATTTTTAAATGCTTTATTCATACTAATCGAGTGGTTTGAAAGTTAATAGTAGAAATATAGTAGATAAATGAGGTGATAAATTCATATCGTATATTAAATAAAAAGGTTTTTGGAGTATACCGATTTGCTGTAGAGCATTATACTTTTAGAAAACTTTGTAGACTATTTAATTTTGAACATTTTTCTCATATATATCATTCGAGTTAATCGAATGATTTAAAAGTTACAAGAGATTTATTAAGTAAATGTTGCAAGTCAATTAACGATCAAAGTGCTGAAGAAAGAACACTTATATTCCATTTTGAATAAAATTTTAGAGTATTCCGAGTTGCTGTACGGCCATATATTAGACAATGCTGTAGATTATTTAATCTATTATATAAAAATAAGTCGGGTTTTCCTTCCTGACGATATAACTCCAGAACGTACGAACCGATTTCGACGATTTTGCATTCGTTGGAAAGGTCTCGGACTCCGTGAGGTTTATAGCAAATAAAATTGAAGAAAGTTTTCAACAGAAAAGCGGAAAACACTTTTTCTTTTTTCAAATACAGCGTCATCTTTGATACTTAGCATGTACTTCAACCTAATATTTTTTGTTTGACTGCTACTCATTTGTTTGACAGCTACTCATTGTTCTCTGCTCAGTTAATTTCATGTGACAAACCGGTATTGTGTTCACTGTGAAATTGTACAAAAAAAGTGAAAAAAAAAGTTATTTGTTTTCTAACATTTCAATTGGAAATCAAATCTATCACGTGTATTGTGCAAATTTTTATTCAATTTCAACAGCAGGCAATTTTTTCTTCATCTTTTAATCACCAAACGAAATGTTACATAAAATGAAACCATAGATAAGGAATGAAACCATCTGGTGGTGAAACGGAATTCGCCTGGTTTTTATATAAATTCACTAGATACATCTTTTATATTTATAGAATGGTTTACAAGTTACATGGCATATACTAGAAAATGCACTTGGACATAAATTCGTGTTTTGAAAGTGATTTTAAAATATACCGAGCTGCTTTAGGGTGTTATGATATTAGAGAGGCTTCAAGATTATTAAATTTTGAACAATTTCTCATATACATCAGTCATATTAATCGAATGGTTCAGAAGTTACAAGAGATATAATAATATAAATAAATGCACATAAACGACTTGCAAGAATATTTTTATTTTCCATCTTTGACTTGAATTTACGAGTATATCAAGTCGCTGTAGGGTCTTATGTTCTTAGAAAAAGTTGTAGATTATTTTA